TGGCTTGCAATTGGTTACATTTTGTAAACATCAACGTTTAATTACTTAATGGCTTCCACGAAATTGTTATTTTATACAAAACAATTTTTTACTCCAAATTAAATATCGAAATTCTGAACTGTCAAATGGAATAAACAACGCGTTGTAATAATACAAGAAAAGCCATATAATAATATATGCCATTTATTTAACTATTTCGCCATTATTATACTCAAAGTTTCGTTCAAATGGAAAAAAAATGATTGTTTCTCCATCAAACGGGCATTTTTCTCAAAAACGAAATCTCAAGTGCAAAGTTACAGATAATCAAATCATTAATTTGTAGCTTTAATTGGTTACTTTACCAGCACTTCCGTCGCCCTTTTCAAAACCTTTTATGATGCCAACAAGGAACTGTTCGCTTCATGTCACGCACGCCAAACCTTCGAAGTGGTGGATAATGGACGAACGTTTTGACACACATAGGCATAGACGGTACCATTATAACATTGCCGACATCACCTTTCTTAGAACATTGGGGTTCGCTTCCTTCGTTTTATCAGTCCAATGATTAATCTTTCCTTTTAGTTCTGAGAACTTTCACGCAATATGAGTAGTGTGACAATCCAAAACAGAACTATATCCAGAATGGCTTACACTCGGATGGTTCATATTGATAACCTGCGGTGTGAAATTTTTCGCTTCCTTTGGAGGATCACTAGCTCTTGTTGTTACAAGTAACCATTCCTCGCTTCATCTCTTTTACAGAAACGTTTTTAATATTGAAACTGACGTTCTCTCCAGGGAGGGCTTCAGCCAAGAATTCATGGTGCATTTCGACTGATTTTTACCTCAGTATTAATGTTAAAAATTAAATATAAACAATGCGCTGTAATAATAAGCGCGAAGCCATATAAAAATATAAACAACGCAATCTTAGCGTCACTAGCTGAAGCTTTAGTTCATTCAGGAGGCAGATATATTTCTCGTACATATACTTAAAAGGAATGATTTTTTATAACGCTAGTTGTATCACTGTAGTGTTTTACAAAGGTTCGATGATATTACTCAACTATCAGAGATCCCTGTGATATTCTCATTCTTGCGCGATTAGTAAATCAGCCCATGCAACGCACGTGACTGTGTTCAGTAGAACCGTGCACACACACACACACCAATTCTATCTTCAATTTCCTGTGATGTTAGTATTAATTGGAGTTATAGTTTTAAACCCTGATGAAATCGATTGCATATAGAAATAGCTGGAAAAAATGTAATCTTATGAACATTATATTTAGGTTTCGTAACGGAATTATGGCTCCACTTTTCCAAAATGCGCATCTGGTGTTTGAATTATTTATACGTCTACACAGTTGTTACCATAAAAACTGATTGTGTAAGCGTTTTTGCTCGTGTCTTAGCATAATATAGCATAAACAACGCTGTGTTACGTGTCAGTTGAAGCACAATTCTGCAGAAAGATAAAACAAAGTTTCCGCAACCAAGCTATACGCTATCGTCAATACCTTTCAAGGTTAGTGTAGTTCTCTAAATCCTTAAAGATGCATTGTAAATTAGCAACACGTCTGGCCACGTTAAAGTTATAAATGTTAGAATGTTTATAGTTTCAGTTACTTGGGACGAAACTCATTGTGTGTATATGACACAAAAAAATATTAACGTTGTTTGAAGGGCACATTTATTGAGCCATAAAACTGGTTGTAATCTACTTAACCTACATTCTAATTCTGTCACTACAACATATAGCTTTTTTACTGCGTATGTCATAGCAAGTCAACGTTGTTTGAAGCGCATATTTATTTTGCTAAAACAGCTTGAAGTTAACCCAAACGTACGTTTTTAACAAGCTGACATTTAAATTTATAGTTTAACCGGGTACGGGCGAATTTACGGCCAGTGGGATCTGGCGTAAGTGCTCTTTAAGCGCGGCGCACACTGGAGATATCAGCTGAGCTGAGCGTCACTCGTGACTGTTGGCCTAGACAGGTTCCCCCCGGTGTTCTCAGTCATCACAAACCAAGTTTTAATTTCGCTTCGGCTTTGCTTTCTCTTTCAATATATTACTCTGCGGTTCGCGTTACTCATAGCTTGAATATTGTGGGAATGTTTGCATGGTAAAGCAGACTACGCCAGTCGCCATTGTTTACATGATGTGAATATGATAGACTAGATGCTTTCTTAGGTTTGGCTTATCGCAGTGCAAAAACAGACCTGTAGATTTGAAAGAAAGAAAGTATTGTAGATTACGTATGAATTAGTCACAAAGGCGGTAAATTTTCTCGTTAATGTGCAAGATCCTGCAGTAAATTCGTATTCAGAGGACCTTAAGAATGACTTATGGCAAGCATAATGAGCTTGAAAGTGATAAAAAGGCGGAAAGACAACTTTTCTATTATTTTTATTACAGTAATATTTTAACAAGAATTTCCAATCACATACGTGGTTTTCATGGAGGTTCTGCATAAAAAATACAATATATAATACATTAAATAACCAGTTAGTATCTAAACAAACATTACGTTATAAAAAGTCACTATAAAAGTATATAAAAATCCAGTCCAACATTATCAATGTATCTATGTAAGAAATATTCTTAATTGAATATTTAAATTTCATTAATTAAGCAATTTATTTTTTTGAGAGAATAATCAAGATTATTCCAATCTTTAAAAATGTGATGAATACAGTTTTACTGACACCAATTACGATTAGTTAGTGGTAATCGAACATTTCTTCGTCTTCTGGTGTCATGGTTATGAACGTTTCTGTTTATAGCTTAACGTTCAGGTCAATGTCAATATGACCGTGCATGCAGGTATTCGAATGCCATTAGCTTATGAATTAAGCGAAGGATTAGTGACAAGTTTATCAAGGCGTTCATTTTAGATATTTGTAAAACATTAAGAAGCATTAGATATAGTTCGATAATCATATAGCAATATAGCAGCACAGCTATGGGCGGCCGTTACCACCAAAATTACTACAGTACCGCTCAGAATTAACCTAACTGACTGCGGTTGGGGTCGTCTTGCGCGCGGTTTGCGTGCGTTAACGCGCTGTTAACGGTCGGTTATCGGGCGGTTAACGGCCCGGCGGTTAACGTGTGGTTATCGGGCGTGTTTTTTGCGGTTTAGCCCACGCATCGGCAAAAAGCTAACCGCGGTTTAAAATGCATTCTGATTCCGAGGTTTTCCGACCAAAAGCAGTAAAGTATTCACGGTATAGAACGTCTTCACTAATAAAATGCTAACTCAGGCTATAATATAACAGCTAAAGGACAATAAAGTTCTATAAAAAAAAATTATAATAAAAGCTCCCGGTTATAACGTGTGTGCCTAAAAGGCCGAGATTTTATTTACCTTTTAGGTACACGCGTTATAACCTCTAGCCTTTATTATAAGGGGATTTAAGTTTAACTTAATTTAAAGTTAAGTTGATGCGCGCGCCAAGTTCTTACTTATTTTAAAACATCTATGTAATTAAACTCTAATAAACAAAAAGAGACCAATTTTAGCACTATTTTATTGCTGTCTGATGATTTTGTTCAAAATTTGGGTAGGAGTTTTTGAGCCTTACTTGGACAACGAGTATTTTGTTTGTAAACACTTGTATATTGACGAGGCAAGCTTAAGTTCCTTTAATTTAAGCCGAAAAAAATGCACATGCATTGCATACATCTATGGAGACAATCTGCTCGTCCGACAACTTAAGCTTTCGTCCTCTACGTAGGGCATCGTGAAGAATTTCAGTTTTGCTAAAGCGACAAATAAATAAATTTACAGCGGATCGCGACGTCTTTATCCCTTCTTCGTTTAAACTCTTAGTTATTGCAACAACTGAAGTATTTGTCGAACAATTCGCTCCCTGGCATAAAGCAACAGCCTGCCCGTGTCTCAACGTTTGCAAAACATGTCAATATTTATAAAGCACAAACGGACGTTTTCATAATGACCCCTTCGGAAATGCACGGATATTTACGAATGCTATTACGAGTATATTTGAATGCCGTTCTTAGGGTTTGTAATCCAAGCGAGTATATATATATATATATATATATATATATATATATATATATATATATATATATATATATATATATATATATATATATATATATATATATATATATATATATATATATACTGTAAATTAAAAAGGGCCAAATCGACCCCAAATTCCGTTTCAGCCCTTTTGGGGCCAAAGCTGTTTTGGCCTATGTGAAAGCCATTTTGGCATTGGAGAGCTGGATCTGCACCGACGGAGCCATTTTAGGTATGGAGGAAAGCCAAATTGGCCCTATCCTTTGCCGTAACGGACCCATCATTTTCCAATTTAGCCCCACCAATTGCCAATATGGCCCCACAGACCAAAACGACTCTCACGTCCGGGTTTGTTTTGGCCCCACATAAAGGGGCCGCTTTTGATCAACACTTTGGCCCCTATGAGCTTCGTTTCGGCTCTCCATCGCGGAACGACTCTCGCATAGGTCAAATCGACCCTGGAATGAAATCGACCCTTTTGTCGAAACGACCCTTCTGTCAAATCGACTCTTAATTGTGTCAAATCAACCCTTCTGTCAAATCGACTCTTAAATGTGTCAAATCAACCCTTCTGTCAAATCGACTCTTAAATGTGTCAATTCGACTCTTCTGTCAAATCGACTCTTAATTGTGTCAAATCGACTATTAATATTGTGTCAAATCGACCCTTCCGTCAAATCGACAGTCTTAATTCTGTCAAATCGACCCTTCTGTCAAATCGACTCTTAATTGTGTCGATCGTCCGTCGTATATCGTATCAAATTAACTTCCGCATAAAACTTAAAGAATGCACATGCTGGCAGTCGCAAAGAAAAAGAAGACGACGTCTTTTGGATTATACAAGGTGAGATTTGATGTTTCATTTTGTAGGGTATCGAAATTTGTTTTCCAGATTTTTAGTAATTTTATCGTAAATATAAATACGGTATTTGTAGGCCCAGATGTAATATTAATGATCTAGGGAATTTTATTATAAGGCCTAGGTGTAATATTAATGATCGCGGGAACTGGGAACGAGAATGCACGCGCCCGTAAGCAATCGGGTTTGCGATCATTCTCGAGCATGCGTACTAACATTTGGCGCCATTATCGAAAGTTGGCCGTTGGGATTTGCTTCGACGAGGGATACGGATAAAATACAAGCGTAAAACCTCGTTTGTTGCAGTATATTCTGCACAAATAAACAATTTATTAGGAAAATACGTTCAAGAAACGTCTCGTGCTGTACTAGCCTAATTCTGGCAAATGTTATTTACTTTCTTCACCTTCGTGTCGAAGACTGTTGTTTGCTGATGGCCAAATCACGACAGCGGACATCAATTATTCAAAATATGTTCTTATAGCTTCACGTTTACGATACGAAACACGTTTTAATGTAAGATTATTTATTTTTTGTATATGTAGGTTGTAGTTGAAAGTGACAGCGACAATGAAAAAAGTGCAAACAACATTGAAATATCCAGTTCACTACTAGCTCAAATCCTGCGACATATCACAGTGACTTGCTAGTAGCCCAGTCTAGTTTAACCTTTCCCAATCAAGAATCATCTCCTGAATCAGGCATACTGGTACTGGTTCATTTGATAATGTAAGTTTTTAAACTGGTATTTTAGATTATAGCCTCGGTCAAATGAGGATGAAAGTCATGCATGAATTGCTTATAAATACACAAAGGACATTTCAAGTTCCACACGAACAAAATATTATTAAAGCTTTGATGAGTGTTCCAACTATGTTTCAACTTAATTAAAATACTCTCATCCTCGTTTGATCCATAATTATTTGTTGATTTTACTCGATACTAAATAGTGAAACATCGAATCCAGATAAAATCTTATGCAGAACCCACTGTAATTCCAAGCTGTAATCACATAATTATATAAAAGTCGTTTCAGTAGCAGCAAAAGCCAAACTAAACACCAACTAGGATTAATAGGTTTAGCTTTTAAGCCGAGAATAATACACGATTGACAATTTTGTGGCTGATTGATTTAATAGTATATATACTGTATATTGATGTTGTTGTATACATAACCTGAAGTTCAGGCCCTATCACAGAATAGGGCCTGACACAAAACCTATCTAAAGTGTGGGATTCCCGTCCACCTGGTGGACGGGAAATCTGATTGGTTGATCAGCATCATGAAGGATTTTGATCGGTTGCAAGTTCACATAAACAACAGTTTTAAAAATAGCTCGGTCAAGGCGAGAATTAATATAAAGGTCAAACGCACGTAACAAATTCCATTATCGATTTCTTCGAATTTCTTTTCTTTTATGCTTTATGGAAGAAAAATAAATCAAACAAACAGTATTTTGAAAGGGCTTCATCAAAATCTTTGACGAATTTTGGACACACACGACGCTGAAAGAACAGCCAAACTAGTCCTGTATTCGAAAGCTTGTTGTTGACAGCCAAGATGTTCTGCCAACTTGCTTCGCCGGAAAAAGTCTTATTTTTAATATCAGGTCCTACCGGCGTTGTTTTCTGAGCTACATCGCCTTCTTCGTGGTATGATTGAGAATTTAATTGTTGCTGTTATTAGCCCGTTAGTCGTTAGAGTATATCCGCGTCCAGCAAGTTGAGACCTTGAGAAAGCTTGGCAGTCAAGCCGTGCACAGAACTGACTAATTAAATCTTTGTTTGCTGTTCGCCTGTTCGGTTAAATAGAGAAACTGACTCTTAATTATATAAAAGTACCTTGAATTTTTAAGTTTAATTAAAAAGCAAAATGCTCTGCGGACATGTTCATGAGAATATAATTTTTTGTGTAACGAAATCTACAACACTTGTCAATCATATTGCATGTGTGTCTAAAAATAACATGTGGGCGTCCCACGGTCTAGACAGGTTTTGTGTCAGGCCCTATTTCAAATTAGGGCCTGAACTTCAGGTTATTGTATACAGGACATCTGACTTACATGTCAAATTAATAGTCGAATCTATGATTATATTGAGCATGGCAGATTTGACATTTGAAACATTGTTGATGTTAATAACCCAATGAGTCGCATTGCGCCCTGATGCGCACTAAGTATTTATTATTTTACTCTGGTTATCTAACGCTAGGCAATTTTACTCATCAAGGGGAGAGCACTGGCGGTTAATGTGTTAACTAGCCTATCTGCCCATGTTTACAGTTAACCCATTGAGTCGCATTGTGCCCTAATGCGGCCTAATTTATTATTTTACTCTGCCTATCGCAGGACAATTTTACTCATTAAGGGCAGAGCGCTGGCGCTTAATGTGTTAACTGGCCTATCTGCCCATGTGTCTAGTTAACCCATTGAGTCGCATTGCCTCCTAATTTATTATTTTACTCTTTCTAACACCAGACAATTTCACTCATTAAGGGGAGAGCACCGGTACTTAATTGGTTAACTGGCCTATTTGCCCATGTTTATAGTTAACCCATTGAGTCGCATTGCGGCCTACTTTATTTATTTTACTCTGTCTCGAGAGGAGAACGCTGGTGCTTAATGGGGTTAATATTGAAAATATAGATCAACATTTGTCAAAACTCATGACTTGTGCAATCATTTCTGTAATAATTAAGATATTAAAATACCAAATATAATGCCTTATGGCTTATTTCAAATAGGGAGATGCTATGTGACTATGTCCATTGAAATTTAGTGGATTTGTTGTAGCTACATCAAATAAATGCTAGCCAAAAACATATTCATTCAAGTCAATCGAAGATAATGTAGAATTGCACTTTACATAAAATTCCTTAGTTATTGTACATTAATGAAAAAGCATTTGAAATGGAAATATATTGTTTTAATTTTATTTCTATGGTTTGTACTATGATATACATGGGCTATACAGTCTTTGGGAACCCGCAGGGCTGTTGGCAAAGCATTTCCATGATCTGGAACTTCAGTCCTAAACAAGATGTGTGGGTGCGAAGATGTTGTATAGGAACAGAACTGTACAGATTAGAAATATGATTACTGATATTTTCCAAAGAAAAACTATTAATATATAGAAGAGGAAAGAAAGAGGCAATAAATAGCCCAAAGTATCTGTTGTACATTTGAAATTTAAAAATGGTAGACTTATTAAGGGTGAGATACAGAGAAAAACAGTAATGCAGAACTACATTCTCTTAAATTGTCAAAATTAAACGCCACCAGTCTTGGTCTCGTTTCAAACTTGAATAACGAAAAGTCTAAAAATATAAAAACTATAAGAACAGATCAGCTAAGTCCAGTTATAAAATTAAATGATGAAGGAAAGCTGTCATTTTAGGAAAGTATTGTTTTGGGGTGTGTGAACTCATGAGGTTACATGTTTCTGGTGAATCTGCTTGCTGCAGCAAAAATTTATTAATCGTTTGTGACATAATTCACAAGATGTCTATTTTAACCTGTGGGTTGCCAAACTTCTTAAATATGGAATTTGTTTTGTCTGACCAAGATATAATGAATACCCCCAGTGACATGAGTATGTCCAATTAATATTTAACTAGAAATAAATGCATGCAGCAACCCCTAGCCTATATTTTCCAAACATTGATTTAACATGAACTATTAGCAATTGGCCAGTACTGAACACAGTCACAATATTTTAAATTTTTTTGAGTAATTTTGCAAGTGTTCATACCACAGAATCTACCATACATTATTTTAAACAAATAGATAGGTGAAGTAATTCAAACAAAATTATTTTGAACTTTATTACTTTACTCTGTCGAACGCCTATTCTACTCGTAAAGGGGAGAGCCCTGGTGCTTAATGGGTTAAATAAGATTGTATAGTTATATGTATATCATGTATGATGTTTTTATGCAGTCTCCCTGAATCACTTGTACCAGGCTATGGAAATTCATAAGATAAGATAAGATAAGATTTAATTATGCCTCTCTGGGCAACTCATGCATCTAAGAAAATTACAGAAATATAAATCTTACAGTAATATATATTACAATTATTAAAAATTAGAAACAAGAAATATGTCTTCGCATAGCAACCTCTGGATGCAATTTAAGATAAGCAACATGGTCATTCTTATCCGGAATTCTGTTAAAGATTTCTTGCGATAAATACCAATATCCGTGACGAGAATCCGGGTTGTAACTTTTTAGATCATCAAGTCCTGCCTTAAAGGCTTTACACTAGGTGCACTGCATACTTAACAGAGTTTGGTAAATTGTTCCAATACTTAATTACTCTTACGCTAAAACAATCTAACGCAAATCTGGTCCTACAGGATGATACATTGCATAAATTACGAGTACTATAATGCAAATTATGGTTAAACATTTGATGGCCATAGTTAACATGTCCGTTAATAATCTTGTATGCTTCAATAAGATCACCCCGCATTCTACATGTTTCCAATTTTGTATTTATTTTTCTTATGATACAGTATACTGTAAATTTGAATAATATTTGTGTGCTTATAGTGAGCTTATTTTTAGGAGAGTTTGTTGCGAGGCAGCATATATTTTGATATTTCAAAATATTACTGTATATTGGTATGTTATACTTAATGCTTTTGGAAGGGTTATAGTGGTCGGGTGTGATATACTTTTTCAGGTATTTTGTGTCTGATGTATGTAAGAGCTTTATTATTGGGTTTCTTGGTGAGACCTTATATATCTTATGTGTCCTATAACCCTCTGTAATTGCGGATTATTGCATACATTCTAATTGTATTTTTTTGTAGGAGTCCAAAGATGCAAATGATACAATTTCAAACTTATCACAACCCATATTGTGGTCGCTGGCAGCGAAGTAGAATACGACTAGAAACTGTCAATCATACGTTATCGAGGGAAAGGATGAAAGTTCCATAACAAGCAACAGTTGATGCAATTATCGCCTTATTGGCAAGTTTTTACATCTTCAATATTGAGTACTGCCACACGAAGAGCATCTTGTCTGCCTTGCAGACTATAGTAGTGCATGGGCAACACAGAAAATGGCATACAACTGCCAATAGTGAGTTTAAGCAAGTGACGTTTTTGACAACACGGACGTCGACCGGAGGTAAAGTTGACGTTTTTCACCAATCACAGTCCTTGATCCAGTCTTCTGACGTTGCTCATGCCGTCAGTGTTGTCAAAAACGTCACTTGCTTAAGCTCACTAATGAGGGTCACAGCCCTCTTCAATGACTTGTCATGACTCATGAATATTAGTACTACAGTAATTTTACACTTTTTGAGAGTTATGTTGACATATGCTAACCCAAGTTAATGTTATTGATGGAATGTGTGTATTGTCTCACATCTCACCGAACTGTGGTAATGTATTATAAATTATTCGTATTGCGTTCACGTTAACAACCGCGGCCACATTGATTGCTCTTTAAAATTAGAATTGTAAACTTTCGGAGCCATATGGCATATATGTACGAATCTTTTGATGGTTCCCACATTTCGGTGAGATACATAATACTGACTACTGTGCATGTATATTGTAATTTTAGTTATAGTATTGTGCTTATAATACAGAAATTGGAACATTATTTATCTCAACTTATATTACAATAATTAATTCCAATCTTGGTCTGTTGGAGAAATTGTAATAAGACCAAATAAAGTTAATAAACCCCATTATTTTTGCCTGATTCATTATATACATCAATGTAGAATACGTCTACATGCAAGAGTGCAACCAAATCATGCACATGACTTTAAATGCTATATAAAACGGCACCACCAAAAAGCTATATCAGCTCAATCGGTTCTAAAGCACCTCTTCATTGGGCTGAGACAGCTCTCCTCTGAAAGGGCCAGAACAGCTCCGGTTAACAAAGTAGGGGTTAAATTGGCTTTTCTTTTGGATCTATAATGGCTCTGAAATTGGACCAAATTGACCCTTTGGGTGCTACAAACTACACCATGAAAAAAGCTATATTAGCTCCTTCGGCTCTAAAGCAGCTCTTGTTTGGGGCTGAAACTGTGCTCTTCTGGGAGGGCCAAAATAGCTCTGGTTAAAAAAGTAGGGGTTAAATTGGCCTTTCTTGTGGTCTATAATGGCTCAGAAATAGAACCATATTGGCCCTTTGGGTGCTAAAAAACTACACCATTAGAAAAGCTATATCGGCTCCTTCGGTTCTAAAGCAGCTCGTCATTGGGGCTGAAACTACTCTGTAACTCAGTAGCCAAAACAGCTCCGCTTAGCTAGCCAAATCAACGCTTTTTGGGGTTCATTATGACCACAAATGGGAGCCAAATCAACTCCTCGAAATGCCAAAATAGCCCCCTAATTTTCTGAATTGGCCCCTATTGAAAGTTGAAATAGCCCCTGCTTTTGCCAAAACAGCTCCTACTAAAAGCTGAAACAGCCCTTACACTGCAAGGGCCAAATCACCCCTTAGGGGCCGCATTGTTATAGGTGCCATTTTGACCCCAAAAAAAGATCTATTTTGCGGTCACCGTTTTAGCCCCATTTTTGGGGTCGTTTCAGCCCTTTTTAATTTACAGTGTGGATAGGGTATCTGGTAAATATGCAAAAATCGTGCAAATTACGATTATACAATTACTTTATGGTTTCCGTGTTTGGATGGCCTGATCCAAACACGCGGGAATGTTGCGAGAGTTAAGAAAAGCGAGCGAAATCACGAGCCGAAGGCGAGTGATTTTGCCCGCTTTTCTTAACTCGAGCAACATTCCCAAGTGTTTGGATCAGTCCATCCAAACACGGAAACCATAAAGTAATTGTTTTATAAAATAAAAACAACACGATAGTCTTCCGTGTTTGGATGGCCTGATCCAAACACGGCTTTTGACCAATCAGAACACGCGTTATATACATGTTATTTTATAAAGTCAGTTAATAGTTCACTTGTATAAATGGTGAATCAGTCAATCAAAGCTCCGTTTTAACATTTTAGTGATAATAGTTAAATACAGAAACAATTTAGAGAATTTACTGACGCAATTATTTAACTGTATTTATTCACTATTTGGGATATTTTGTGGACGAGTGAATGATATACATAGCTACTTCACTACTTCATCTTGTATTTAGTAACACGAACAGACAATATTATCAGTCTATTTGTTGATTGCACATAGCAGAACGACAGTCACTTCAGATATTTTTAAAATATATCAAAGTACCGAAAATATAATTAGGTGCATATAACTGATCCATCATTAGTAATAGTTGTACCACAGTCGAAGAATGTAATGAGTGGACAGTTGGCAAAATTGTTGTCTACCAGTTACAGTAAGAACCATCCATAAAATGCTTAGCAGTATCAAACAAGTGAAAGTTGGCCGCGGTATTCCCATGCTATGCATACGAATTATTGTACATTATATCAACATATACTCGAGAATAGTTATCCAGCTAAACATGTATGTCAAAATTATCACATCTTCTGGTTTTAAATCAACAATTTTGACGGATTTTGTGCAAGGACAGCTTCGGGTTCCGTTTCGCTTTGGCCGATGCTTGAAATTTCCTGGAAGTACACTTACTTACCGGAAGTTGTCGTCTCCTCCGCAGGGTCTTTGACTACGCGCGCGGCTCGACACAAAATGGAAAAAAAATAGGAGCCGAATTTATGACCTCGGTGTCGTACCGACCCGAGGTTATTACAAGCTGTAAGAGTAATTAAGCATAAATTAAAGCTATCATAGCAATATTAAAATACAAGAGAGTATGAGGTACACAAAACGTAAGGATAAGAAAGGGTAATGAAGGGAAGTGACGAACAAAAATGAAAACATACAAATTGGACGACAACACATACAGACAAAACATAAAAGAGAGAGAGATCAGAATAGGTGAAGAGGAATTGAACTGCCTTGAACGTTGAGAGAGGGTTTCATTTTAGAGATAAGAAAACTTTCATGAATAAGGAGTTCTTGGTCATCTGAACAAGAGGAGAGGATTTCAAAGTCGTCAATAGAAGCAGTGTGGCCTGTGGATGTAAGATGTGAGAAAATGCTGGACTGGGGAGGATTTTTACATGTGTGATACCCAGTTGTTCCAAAACTCGGGTGTGTAGATGCCGCGTGGTTTGACCCAAATACGATGCGGAATCTTAGCTTTGGGCATTTTGTCCTTAAAGGAGACAAAGGTGGAAAGCCGTCTAGTTGATCGAAAGACAAATCTTATATCAAGATGTGGGAAAGCAGCACGACAAAACGGTTGATTTGCGTGCGGATTTGCAAGGAGTGAGTGCCCGTAAAAGGGAGACAGAAATAAATTATTTTCTTAGGAACAGTATGAACAGGTAGCTTAGGTTGAAATACTTTGTTAAGAAAAGTTCTAACACATCGGTCAAACATATGACAAGGGAAACCATTTAAGATAAACATTCTTCGTGCTGCTTCAAGTTGGTGATGGAAAGTCTGATAGCTAGAACAAATGCTAAAGATGCGGTGTATTAAGCAAGATATTATGCTGCGTTTGTATGTAAGTGGAATGAAGCTATGCATGTTGGTAAAAAGACCAGTAAACGTAGGTTTACGGTAAACAGAAGAAGAAATTTTCCATTAGAGCGGAATATGTCAATGTCGAGAAATGGGAGCTTACCATCACGTTCAATCTCACTAGTGAAGCGAATGTTGGTGTGCAGGCGATTAAGATATGCGAGAAAGAGCTGTACATGCTCGGAACGACGGAAAATAGGAAGCAATCGTCAACATATCGTCTATAGAGAAGTGGTTGAAAGGACGAAGGACAGTTGTGAAGCCAATCCTTTTCAACGTTCAAGGCAGTTCAATTCCTCTTCAGCTATTCTGATCTCTCTCTTTTTTATGTTTTGTCTGCATGTGTTGTCGTCCAATTTGTATGTTTTCATTTTTGTTCGTCACTTCTCTTCATTACACTTTCTTATCCTTACGTTTTGTGTACTCATACTCTCTTGTAATTTAATATTGCTATGATAGCTTTAATTTATGCTTAATTATTCTTGCAGCTTGTAATTAATATAGTCTCAAGATGTCTTAAGTTAAGACGAAACGTTACTAATCTTTATTAAAAAAATTAAATTTAATGGTTTATATGGCTCTTTTAAAAGCACTTTGCTGGACTTTAATATTTATTATTAGAAATTATTTAAATACCTCTAAATCAACCCGCCTCATATCTCGTCCTGGCAAAGCGGGATCATGAAAACAGTCCCTTATTCAGCAAATTGCGCATGCTGCATTTGATTCCTTGGTTGGCAAGGCAGCACTTTCCTTGCGATAGTAACTTCTAGTTCTCTTTAGCGTCTGCAACTGCAAGGTACCAGAGACCTTACGATTTTATGACGGCAACGCGACGGCAACGGCTACCAATACAATAGAACATTGAAAACAATTGAGTAATTACAATATATGAATAATTTAGACATTGTCTTCGCTCTGTTTACAACGCCAAATCACAAATTTTCACGTCTTGATACAACGGCTGCATTCGAAGTCGCAACAAGTGGCACTTCAAACTGGGTTCAGCAGAACTCTTCCCAACCATAATACCCATGTAGTCAACTTCTACAACAGTATTAATTTCATGCGATTGATAATATACCACGAACTGTCTTTATACTACCATTTATTTGAAGGAGTTTGTTTTGGCCGTCGCCGTCGCGTTGCCGTCCTAAAATCGTAAGGTCTCTACTGTTTAGGAAAACGCTGTGAAATATTTATATCGATTATTAATCAAGTTTGTACGAAAGCATCCGACAAATTAACAGAAATCTTCTCTAAGTGCATCCGCCCACTTGTCGATGTCATATGGTTTATCAAAATATGATGGTCTGGAAACTAAACAAAAGTCATTGTATTGTGTTTTTGTCTGAGTTTATGTTAATTTGGGAACGGGCGCGGTGTTAATTGAGCTCACTATGTTTTCGTATAATTAAGTAATCGTCCAATGGGATTAACTGAGATGAAACTAGCAGCCACGATGAATAATATTTCGTGAAGTTGATACAAAGGATTTGTGCAAGTTGAGGTACAGTTTAACGTCCAGCAAAGGCCTTCTTTTTTGTAGCTTTGAAGTTTGCCGGGCTTCCCGACCATCGTATATCGTTACAGACTACATATTGAATTGAATTGAATTGAATTTATTACAAAATCTGAATGGCAGCTAAGAGCTGAATTGTACAGAGTTGACATTTAAAATACATGGTAAAACTAATACATATAGTAATATACGGTATATTAAAACTAAAATTTATATTACAATTAAAATGAATCATTATATGATACGATACTAGAAGGAATAAAACTTTTACTAAATCTTGTAGTCTTACAATTAATTAAGTTAATATGCTGATCGTTACGTAGATTGTAAGTACGTAAGTCCTCGCGTTTATTAGGGATAAGTTCATTCAATTTATTTTCCGGGTTGAGAAGTTTCTTAAAATAGGATTTACATAAATTATTTCGTCTTTGAGAGAGCAACGATATTTCATGAACTTCCAAGGCTTTGCGGTACGACAGGTCAGGACATATTATTCGTAGGGCTCGCTTCTGAATTCTTTCGATTTCTTCCTTTAAATAGTCAGGGGAGTTTAAGTTCCAAACCTGGCATGCATATTCAAGCACAGGTCGTATACATGTGGTATAGACTTGAATTAGAGAATTCCCTCCAAGACCGCTGCGTTTAAGCACTCGGAGAAAAGTCTCTTTGATGCCTTGTGTACTATGTGTTCAACATGTAAGTTCCAACTAAGATCAGAAGAAAAGTACAGACCAAGAACCTTTGCTGATAAAACTGGGGACATACAGTGATCTTTAATAAACAATGGTCGAAGATTAGGGACGTCCTTAGCGAACGAGATAATTAGCTCTTTGCATTTAGAACGATTAAGCATCATATCATTTTTCGTGCACCATTGATCGATATTATTAATAACGGATTGCAGGTTACTTTGACAACCTTTACCGATTGTTTCGGAGAGACTAGTGTCATCAACATATTTCCATCTATCTTTGTAGTTAATAGCCAAATCGTTGACCATGACGAGGAAGAGTAATGGGCCAAGGATTGTACCTTGCGGGACGCCTCCATTTACCAAGGACCAATCAGAGAACGAAGAACCCAATTTCACCCTCTGTCTTCTTTGCATCAGGAAATCAATAACCCAGTTTATTAAGGATTTATCAATATTTAGTAATTGCATCTTTTTATCAGGATTTTGTGGTTGATTCTGTCGAATGCTTTACTAAAGTCAAGCAGAAAAACACGAACAGTCTCGCCATTGCCGTCTGTGTTAGAATACCAACAGTGGAACATGCTAATTAATGCGTCTATCGTAGAAGAGCCTTTTAACGATCCGAATTGCTTTGGGTCCAACTGAGACTTAATGGTATCCATAATCCATTGAAATGGAAATGATTCAAGAACCTTTGAGAGCGTGGCGATCAGAGATAAAGGTCGCAGGTCTAAGATATATCCGTGACCGAGGATGTCTTAGGGACGGGAACGACATTTGCTTCTTTCCACTGCATTGGAACTTGTGCTTGTTTAATGGATGCATTAAAAATCATTGTCACAGGTTCTGAAATCTCCATTGAAAAGTTATTGAGAATCCAATTTGGCAGAGAGTCTGGACCAGGAGCTTTATTCGATTTAACTGCTTTTAAACGCGATTCGACATCAACAACAGAGATAGGGTACAAAACGGTAGGTTCTTCCACAGATAATTTATCAGTAATTGATAATTTATCAGTAATTCACGACGTGAATTACTTTATTTCGCAATTTGTTGTATTCAATTGTATTTCCCAAGGCAAAGGCCTTTTGTCGTTGGGAGATGAGGAGTTTGATTTCAGGGGTAATCCACGCTTTGTCTCTACAGTGGAGTTTAACAGATTTTTGGGGAAAAATTGTATCCAAACCCATGAGAATAATGTCATAAAACAAGTCACACATTTTTTGACAATCGGGTAGCTGCGAAAGTACATTCCAGTTAAGATCCAAAAGAAATCGACCAAATGCCTGCATATTTGATTGCTTCCGCTTTGGGCCTTTACAGTCTAGCGACACAACAGCACGATTTTCAAACACAAATACAGGTAAACGCACACGACGTCCTATGGGGTGTCCACGTAGTCTTGTTACGTAGAATGCAGCGTTGGTTATGTCCTTGACGACCCATTTTGAGTTGGGACATTGTTGTCTTGCCCATTCGAAAACATCCAGGCTTTGCAGTACCTCGCGAAATTGTTCGAAATCCCCAAAGTTTCTGACCTCTGACGAATGATGGTGGTACCGGAGATATTCCCTCTCATTGTTGAACAAAATGAACCACACGGTAAATTCAGCCGGAACAAGGTTGATTCATCCCGAAATATATCTTCGACGTATTGCACAAGTTGACTCATATCCGTAGAATTTAGCCATAATTGTACCAATCTTGTACTCTGTTGCCATGACTTTGTCGAGTGCGCATTGCGCGCCAGTGCTCTCGGTGTAGTGGAGATAGCTTACTCGGTAATGTAGTCGGATCTTGGGGAAAAGTTTGAGTAGCTTCGCTGACAGCAGCGCTAGCAGCAGATACAGAAGTTCCTTCGTTTACGGCGGTGGTTGTCGAGGCTCTTTCAAAGAGAAATTAATTAAATATTAAATCATCAAATAGACTATTTCCATACCTACCTTCATTTACGGGTGAAGAAGTTAGTTCGGCAATCTTCGTTCGTTTCGCTCTCCTCGTTGTTAGCACTTGCGAGTTTATGCTTGGTTCCACTACCGACTTGATGGATATCGTTGATGGGTTTGAAGGCGGAAAATGTTACGGAAAGTCTCAGCACAAACGTTACAGGTATGTTTGGGTTCGATCCCTCTTCGTTCATGCATATTCAAATGCCTGTTGAGATTATCCTTGAAAAAAATAGACAATGCAATTGATAATACTATATACAATATTATAGCGCTGCATATCTCACTTAAACACACTTTTCGATCGGATTTCAGTTTGAACATTCAGAGGACGTTTTTCGGTGGATTTTTTCATGCCGTTTTCAACTTGTTAGTCGATGCAAAATCTTTACCACACACATCCCATAGATATGGTCGTTCGGCAGAATGTAATCTTCATATATGTTGGGTCAAGTCGATTCATCACAGCTATAAAAACGTCGATTTCTCGGCTGTTTTTGAAGTTGTCTCCGCAGGTTTATCATGTTGCCAGTCGTCCCATTGTGCAAGACCATATCTTGAGTTCAATCCTAATGGACCAAAGCAGGCGATTTACCTTCTCATTTTCCAATGCAACCATATATTGATCTCTCCTATATATAGAGCAGAAATTGCTTGTATAAATAAGACTGTATTTAATCACAAGACTTAAAACAACAAATATCAATTTATAAAATATTTCTCAGATACTTTTTGTGTTTGTTCTGAGTGTGCATCCACACCTGACCACGGTGGGAATCGAACCCGCAATCTTTGGGATACTAGTCCAATGCTCTACAAACCGAGCTACGCTAGGTTCGAGTTTGTGATACTTCGGAACTGAGTTTAGTTCCTTCGTTATCAAAGATATTCTAAGATTAGGAACTAAGCTCAGTTCCGAAATATCACCAACTCGAACCGACTTGACCTCGTAGCTCAGTTGGTAGAGCATTGGACTAGTATCCCAAAGGTCGCGGGTTCGATTCCCACCGTGGTTAGGCAAACTCAGAGTAACACCTCAAACATTTCTCAGATGTTCTTGTGCCATGTTTTCAAATGTATAAAAACCCCAAAGATTCGCCAAAGCAAGTGAAGCTGTTGTAAACGTTGTCGATCAAAGGCTATACTTACTTGTTTATAAACATGGACGTCTGACAGCATATTTTATTACAAAAGTGATGGATCTTTCCCATTTTGACGGTAAGTAAAAAACAATAACTCTATACTGGAAGTTTTATATGTTGTTTATATCATTATTACGAGTGTTCACCAAAAATTTTGAATCAATATGATTAATTCCTCCTGAGTTACAGCGTCTTGAAAAATAAAAGTGCTGACGTCAGCATTATTTTCGGACGCCTTCAGAACTGTGTTATACACAAAATTTAGTTAAAAATTATTGGTTAAGGTTAATTTGAATTTTTTTTAATTTGAATTTATTAATAAAATATAGACTTTGCAACCAGAAGGTTGAAAATACATCTATCATTTACCTGCCTCGTACCCAGGCGTCTCTTTGTAAAAAAACAGTGATGCGCATAGGACGAGTTTACATGAAGTATTGTAGTGGGGATAGATGGGCGAAGGGGCTGATGGGAAGAGTGCAATTAGCCCCTTCGCGCGTCGCCTACCTACCTGAATACTTATGTATTGTAATTATTTAAAGCGCCTGGGTACGAGGCAGATCATTTACAGGGTTGGTTGATTAGAAAAATATTGTATATTTACAAAAACGTATATACTATAATATAGGAAGAATTTAGAACTTCTAGTATGATATTACCATTATTTACAAATAAAAATGTATGTAATTTATAGTTACTCAATGTTTATTATAAATCGTTACAGACGAGGGAATGTACGAATTTTACCTGATATAAACAAGAATTTAAACATCGTGGCTCAAACTTGCCTTTACTTTAGCATTTGATTTTTGGATAAATGCTTGGTGGTATAAAATGGTCAATTTTATACCAACACAGTTCTGAAGGCGTTCGAAAATAATGCGGACGTCAGCACTTTTATTTTTCAAGACGCCGTAACTCAGGAGGAATTAATCATATTGATTCAAAATTTTTGGTGAACACTAGTAATAATGATATAAACAACATTTCATACACTTCCAGTATAGAGTTATTGTTTGTTACTTGGGAAAGATCCATCACTTTTGTAATAAAATATGTTGTCAGACGTCCATGTTTATAAACAGTCGCATGGCTACCATCGGAAAATATCGTGATGTTCAGGTATATTCCGTGAAAATGCGGTAATATTCCGTGATATTCCGGGTTTTCACAACGCCCTTGTATTCACTATGTTTATAAGTGTCGTTGGTATAAATATACTCGGCTTATATAGTCGAAAAATGTACCAGACAATTGTCGCACCCTATGAAATTCAAGTTGCGTTTCAAACCCGTTAAAGTGGTTTTAAAAAAAAAACAGTCCTGCTACACTCGAAAATTTACTTTTCAGAATAATTTTTGTGATAGAGATACCAGAAGATCCCAACCTACCCATATTAACACGAAGTTGTAAAATTTTGCGCAATTTTCAGTTTAGTGGACATTTTAGAACTGTAGTGCGTTTTTTTATACACCCTGCGTATATATACCTTGTGTGGTGGTATAGCTGTCACAACTCGAGTTCAAGGGGAAGTTGGGGAACAATATTCACTACGCGTATTTCATACCGTTTGCATTTAAAATACAGTAATGAACTCACCTTAACTACACAGAAACCTTAGCCATTCAAAGAAATGGAGCTTAGAATGTTCAGCATCCTGACAAGTAAAACAAAACACCAAGTTTAGCAGGAGCACATGTATATTGTAAATATTCGCGGTAAGCCATCACGATGGAGAAGCGGAAAAGTTTTTTTGGCATTACAGAACTTTTTATTTTTTGTATAATGAAAGATACAGTAAAATACAGCATGCAAAATTGAACATAGGTCACCGGACAAAATAATGGGATACAGTGCATTTATTTTTCAAAAATTGAATTTTTTAATGACGTCAACATCTGAGATGCAACAACATTTGTTCATATGTTCGCGATTCTTATAGTGCAATAGGCATTATGCGAGGATTAATATATTGAGCCACCTTAATAGAAAATCTCTCCCTATCCATGCATATGAAGTTTTTTAGCGGACAAAATATCTGAAATGTATCAATCTAGTTTATGCGCTATAAATTGATGTTATGTGCTATACATTGATGTTATGTGCAAATACATCGATGTTATAAACTGAGACAACTAAAAGATAAACCGATACAACTAAAAGATAAACCGATACAAATAAAAGATGAGGAAACGGAAGTAAATACCAATAAAAGATGAGGAAGCGGAAGTAAATACAAATAAAAGATGAGGAAGCGGAAGTAAATCGGAAAAACGGAAGTTGAGCGACGCGGCAAAATTGCGCGTGCCAAGTAGAGGCGCCAAGCTGGTGAATACATATTGAAAAACATGGCAGAGGAGAGACAGGGCAGAATATCAAATGTTTAGGATTTTGTTCAGTCCATCTTAAGCGCGGTGACCAATTTACAGCATTCTTCGCAAACACGTGAAGAAAACGCATCACAAGGTGGTTCAGTGCAGCAGTTCACATCGCTACCCGAAGAACTGAATTCTCGTTTCCGAATACCACGTACTCATACTTCGTGTGTACCAAATAATGCGTCTGTGCCGCAGCCAGCCTTTCAGGGATACTGAATTTTACACACACGACTATCTCCTTCTCTCGCCTTATATATTTTACATGCCTCCATACAAGCTTTTTAGTACAGCGAGATCATACTCCTTGAGTATGATCAAATTTTTTTACACCACAGGATATTTTACCGATACAATTTCACACACGCATCTCCAATTTTATGTTCCAAAAGTCTACACCTACACTTATATTTCTTAGGTTCACATTTATACATATACAAGTGGTTTTTTATTTTTTATTCTCAGGCTTATCAAATGCAACATTATTTTCACAAGCATAAATTGTACCACCAACACGAGGCCATCACACTATCATATTTCACACTACATTTTTTATCTAACATTTAGGGACTATTGTGGCATAAATTTACTACTAGGACACCAATATGGTTCTCATTACCTATATCTAAACTTAAAAAGCAATGTGGTTAACTGCTCTTCTGTGACAGTTGTATCCTTGGCCTATATACCAACGAGCCCGTTTCTTTCCGCCGTACAAACCGCACGATCGTAAGACTCTTCTAGTGAAAAGCGCTCTGGGTCCGTTCATAATTTTCAACAATAACGTCGACTTCATTTCGTAAACTATTTAATTAAGTACATAGTATTTAGATTGTTGATTAAAAACTGCTCCGTTGTATACGATTCAGCGATTCTTGTTCTTAAAACACTCAATGCAGTGCGTTCATACTCTTCTAATCTACGACAATAAAAGTCTGGCGAGTCACAATGAGTACGACTTTGTTCAGCAGTTCTTATTAAATCAACCAATTCACGAAAGTTTTCTGAATTAGGAAGCCAAATGCGTGGTCCAAGAGACGCCATTGTTGTATGTCGCCGCGTCGCTCAACTTCCGTTTTTCCGATTTACTTCCATTTCCTCATCTTTTATTGGTATTTACTTCCGTTTCCTCATCTTTTATTGGCACTTACTTTCATTTCCTCATCTTTTATCTGTATCGGTTTATCTTTTAGTTGTATCGGTTTATGACATCGATGTATTTGCACATAACATCAATGTATAGCACATAATAACAGATATTTTGTCCGCTAAAAAACTTCATACATGCATGACGTGTCTGCAACCTTCGAGCAAATCGATATCGGCAAAATTCTAACAGCGCACAAAAGTTGGGACGTATGATCTTTTATTTATCGACGGCCGTCAATAGACCTTATGCATAATGACGTCAAAAGGCTTGATGCCCGCGAGGAATGCTGGTCTTAGTAGTCATCGCCTGGAAAAATTAAACAATTCACAATGGCCACTATCGAAATTTTGCCGGGCATTGACTATTAAGACCAGCATTCCTCGCGGGCATCAAGCCTTGTGACATCATTATGCATAAGGTCTATTTCTTGCGGGATGGGACGCAATTTTCGAGTGATTATATCTTTTGTCTTGTGCACCAATTTAGTTTCATCAATATTGATCGCTTTGTTAAATACAGACTCATAGCTCATTTTCTACTTTAATACTTTATTACTTACTATTTTTATAATTATTTTATTTTTGAATTCTTGATAATTATGGACTTTACTTCAACCCGAATGTTGTAGTTCCTTATTTTTGGATTCTTGATAAATTATGGACCTTACTTCAACCCTAATGTTGTAGTTGCTATATTTCATTCATGCCCATGTTTCACGTTTTCAGTTTTGTTACTGAAATGTTCAAAGAAATAAAAAAAAAAATCAAACGTTTATTTCGAGAGCTAGAATACCTCAACGTCGTGTTGCATTGATTTTGTGACTATATTTCACCAATACTGTTAAGGTTCCAAACCTTTGATAAGTATCCATAGTTGCTCTCGAGTACTAATACAAGGACTTATATATCGAAGCATCGTGCGATCGCACTCATCATGCAAGACAAATTCCAGACGCAGAACAAAGGCATGTTTTAGAAGTGATTTGACCTAATTTTAATGAAAAAATGATATTACTAACCTCATTGTAAACAAATGAATTTCGCGAAGACACGTTTTCCCGCACTTTTAAAATTTTAAACAAAACTAGTAGAAAAAAGCTCTTAATGTTTTAAATCCTTTTCATTACTATATGCCACGTCGTTTGTCGTCTGTTAGATATTGATAAAACATCTTAAAAAGTTTGATAAACAAGGAAAAAAAGCCACGATAAGCTACTGTCCATTATACTCCTGTCCTACATCGTAAAATATCGGGCATGCAATAGACCCTAGCTATTGAAGACTCGTGATTGGTCGATGGCATGTGAGCGTAAAATAACAGCTCATATACGGCGAGTAGCGAAAAACAAGATGGCGGCAAAAAACTCTACAAGAGTTTTTGCGAAGGTGAAAAAACAAAAATGTTAACTTTAGGAAAGATAAAAGTACAAGAAAAAACTGTCAAAATTTTTTGTCAGGATAGCAGAATACATTTGCTATGTAGAAATTGGTTTAAATACAAGTTTTTTAATTAAAGAAATAATACCAAAACAGCAGAAAAAACATCGTTCATTGAGAATATAAATTGTACAGAAAAAGGCACAAACAAGTGAATTTGCAGACTATGAACAAATATAAGCTATGAACTTAATTCCATCGGAATCGAAATAGTAGTCCACATGCGGCAGCCAGGCAGTGTTTTCAAAATACTGCGTGCCCGGCAGTTAGGAAATTTAGTCCTAAAGTGTTAAAAATATTCTCTTAAAATTAAACACACCCCACACACAACCCTAACTCCTAATCCTATATAAGACCTAACCTTAAAATCAGACTCAAAAGAAGTTGAAATTTTTTTTTTAAAATTTGAAAATAAAATAGTACCGTACCGGATTCGAACTCGAGAACCAAGCTTCGGAAGCGGCGCCTAAACTACTACGCCACAAGGTAGGTCGCTGAATTAACTTGTAAATAATGCACTTTAAACGAGTAAGATGTAAAATGTATGAACGATATTTTACAAATGCAAACTCTCCGCTTCTAAAAGCTCAAGCAAAAACACTCCTTTAGCTCGAGTAAACGCTTAGCAAGCGTCTTGTTAAATGTTGAATTGCAAGAGCTCTTATCTTTCGATGTAGCGCTATTTGGTTCACTAAGCTAATAGCCAATCTAAGGCTCCAAATAAGCAACACTCATCATTCCTTGCGCGCTCAATGTTTAAGGTTTAAGACTTTTTGAAGGACAACCTTTTTTGAATTAGCTATATAAATATAATTAAAAAATTCATTAATAATACATGAGGAAAATACAAAAGAAATGAATGTTTAATCAATGTTTGTAAATCGGATAAAGATTTGTCCTGAGGTCGGAAAACACTGGGAGGAGATAAAACTTCGTATGCTACTATTGTTCCACAAATACTCGACAAGCTGCCGGAATCCCTTCGTTCGACGATAACTCGTGGGTCAAGTAGATCAGATTTTCCAAATTAGACGTAAACAACATATCTTGTCTACAACTTTGAGAAAGTACAGATAACGCTTTCTAAAATCCTCAGTTCTGGAGATATCTCTATAAAATCACAAAGACATTAATGCGAAGTCTTTTGACTATGTCACTGGCCTAAAAAATAACTCTTTTGACGCGATCAAAGTATTTAAAACAAAAGTAACGCGAAGCCAACGTAACGGCAAAAACAACGCTAAAATGAAATATTGTCGAATGGTTGCTGGTAGAAGACTTACGAAAGGATCAATATTAAACAACCTTAAACTATAAGAATAAATGTTCACATCAAAGAGAAAGATCAGTCCCAAAGTATAAAATATGCTCTTAGTCTAGGACCTGTATATGAGTTTGTATGCGATTCATTTAGGACAGGTAATCTCAACTGTTTTAGGGTAAAATGACCATGGCGGTCAACATGGCATATGTGCGAAAACCTGAATCCGGGACGAAAGTCCTGAAAATGACCCCGCCCTAAAACGGCAGTGTCGACATAGCTCTAACTTCCGAAAAGGAAAAGCGATAGCCTTTCTGAAGTGCTTATAATGTTTAGAAGGGTTGCTTTTAGGGGTGTCCATTGGAAGGAAAAATTTGTCTAAGTATAATATTTTACCAGAAAATACTATGCACCACCCCAGGTAAATTGCTGATTATGC